GTTGTATGTGTGGGAAGATACAATTGTCTATAATTAACATGTGTAATGGCGTTTTATGACCTTTATTCCCAGAATCAAAGCTTGTTCGTAGTTTTGGTCCAGTGTAAGGAGTCAGTGTCCTTTCTTCAAGCATGTGTACGACATGTTGAAAAGATTTTGGCATGCCTTTTTAACCGAACAGGATTACCTTCAGTCTGTACCGATTTTGAGGGATTACCGCATTGAACGGTTATGTACACAGCAAGCTAATGAAGTGTGAGGACATGCAGTCGTGGCACTCTCAGAATCTTCGCAAGGAATGGTAGAATTGATCGGTACGACATTAAATTGGCCACGATTTTTGAAATATGCAATTAGCCATGCACCGAAGATGATCAGATGTATTGTGATTCTGAAGATTGGTGTGAAAGCACTAGAAATCACAACTGTACCAGTGGTATTACGCCTTCTAGTCATCTGCATAAATGAGCATGACTGTTTCAGTGTAGGCAAACCTTGTTTTTTAGATAAGAGAAAATGTATGCATCTGGTTTGAAATTTCTGTTTTAAAATTATAATGAGTTTTATACGTCTTTTATGTGCATGCTTTGTAAGAGACGAATAAATAGGTAAAGTTGCAGGTAGGAAATATGTAAAGTAAGCAGTGAAATAAGTTAATAAAGTAGACGTATATGAAGGAAGCTATAAAAGTCGTATATTTAGGTTAGACGAGTGATACTTTCGCGAAGTTAGGTAGGTATGTACGTAAGTTAGTACGAAGGTAGAAATGTAGTTAAGTGGGTAAGTACACAAAGAGGAAGTAACAAATAGTGCAAATCAGTAATTAAGTTAATAACTAAACTAATTTAAAACTAAGTAAATAATTTGAAATGTGTTGAAGGAGATATCCATTTGTCACTAGTTCTGATAGCATTTTATTGACCTCTGATTTCGATCTATTAAGGCAACGATTTTAAAAGGGATGATAAACTTTTCCTTTACTCATCGACGCATTTCGACGGGGCATACAACCATCATATGCAGGGTAATATAGCACAATTAAAGCCGCGGTAAATTAAAAATGAGTTTGAGTGACACCAACTTTTGTTCATTGCTTTTTTCGAACAAGCTGGCCGATGATATTCACTCAAATTATACGAGTTCCTATATTCTTTATACAGCCGGCTTTTGTTAACAACATATTTAGCGACGTTATGACTAATAGCCCGATGTTTGTTCTCTCTATATCAACAGAGATCACATTCAAATGAATGTCCCAAGTAGAAAGCGTCGTAGACGATTTCACAATGCTTCATTTTCCCATTCTTCAGAGTTGCTAAATGTTCTGAAATCCTTTTATCCAGCCTTCTCATAGTTTTTCCGATGTAGATCTTGTTGCAGTCGTTATAATTGGTCTTATAAACGACGGTAATCTCTTTCGTTTTCTCGAGCTAGTTAAGTTTCCGGTAAATGTGCGATCCCGGCGAAACACTCATTTTCAGATTGATTTAAAAACTGGCATTCTCCCGTTATTGTTTGATTTTGTAAAAGAAATAAAGGAGACAACTACAGTGGGGTTACTGCTGGGCGTATTATTAACGTTAAGGATGGGTTTCGATATTTGTCTTCTGTTAAGGTCTACATTGTAGCCGTTTTTACGTTAGAAATTTTGTTTTTATTCAATTTGTGTTCTGTAAGCAGTATCAATAAATTCTAAGGGCCCTAAGTCTCATGTTATTTACAATATTTAAAAAAATTAATGAAGGGATACGAGACTTTCGGTGCAAGTACCTGTTAGAATATTGAGGTTTTTGATAAACTGCATGATCAAACGATTTTTCGCTTTTTCCCTGTTGTATTCACTTACAAGTCCATGAAGCTGATCTGGTTTATACGTTCTTTTTCGATGGTATAATTGATTTTTTCTGGATTTTTCAAAG